CTGGTCCTCTGGCCTCCATGTCAATGCCTTTCTGCCCACCTCCCTCTCTGGCTCTGTCTTGATGTTCCTCTTTCTGCTCCCAAAGTCTTGTTAAGAGCGCCCCATCCTCCCCACGCTCTGTTTGAGATAGGGAAACTGAGGCCCAGAGAGGTGTTTGCTCGAGTCAATTCAACAAATCTAGAGCAGATTGTTGCTCATAGCCAGCTCTCCGGATCCCCCCTCAGCCATGGGGGGTGGTCCTCTGGGCCTTGCTTCCCCTTGGATGCCCACCCTGTGCTCCACCACACCCAGCCTGGCCAGGGCAGAGAGACCTCTGGGCTCTCACTCTGTCCTGCTGTCTTGATGAGCTGGTCATTAGACCTTAGAAGCTGCTGGTGGCCAAAAGGGAGGCCAGGACGATGCACATATGTGGTGGGAGACGGGCAGAGTCCTGGCCTGGGAAGGAGGGTGAGACTTGACTTGGGGAGGAGGGCGGGACTTGACTTGGCAGTTCCCCAGCACCCCCACGCCCCTCGGGCTGGGCCTCTACCAGGCAGGGATGGCAGTATTGTGTTTGGAGTTCTGCCAGCGTGCTGTGGCCAGCGCCAGATCTTCTGTTTCCTCTCTGGAGTCCATCATGGACGGCCTGGAGGACACCTTGGGGCAGGCCCCCCTGGAGGGGCCTCTTCCAGCTACCAGACAGCTGAGCCTAGATTTGAACCAAAGTCAAGTTGCTTCTGAACATGGCCTTGGGGTTCACTTCTGGGTTCTGACTGCCACCTGAGCTGCTCACAAACTCTGTGACCTTGGGCAGGTGACTTAACCTCTCTGTGCCTCAACTTCTTCCTCTGTAAAGTGGGGACCATGGCAGTACCTACCGCGTGGAGCCGTGGAGAGGATGAAATGCAATTTGTGGACTGATTTGCCCAGGGCTGGATGTAGCGAGCACTCAGTTCACATTCACAAGGACAGGAGAGCAGCGAAGTTGGTGCTGTGGCAGCTTAGTAGGGCCTGACCACAGTGGGTGCTTACTAAGCAGAGGCAGCGTCACTTTTGTTAAAATTCTTACATCTTGTCTCTGTCTTCCCTACCTGAGAGGCAGCTCCTTGGTCAGAGCCCAGGGATTTGGGTTCCCACGTCCACTCTTTCTCTTTAGCGGCTGCGTGACCTTGAATGAGTCCCTTGACTTCTCCTTGTCTGGGCAGGCCCAGCCCCCGTTGATGGCCTGGGGCGCTACCTGGAGTGCAGAGCCCGGGCTCCCACAGTGCCCCTGGAAGGTCCCCAGATGCACAGGGTGCAGCCGGGGAGGTGGAAAGATTTCGTGTTTTCTCAGCCTGCAGCAGGTCGGCGGCCCTCCCAGGTGGTGGGTGGATCTCTAGCATGGGCCGCCAGCCAAGATTTGTAAGTTTTTTAAACCTAAAAGTATGCTGTGCGAGTCAGAGCCCAAGAAATTCGATCACTGAAGACAGCCGTCAGACTCAAGGGCCCAGTGGGAAGTGGGAGTTTTGTGGTTCTCATGTCCGGGGAGCCTGTGCCTCAGGTTTCCCGGGGCTGCAGCCGCCCGTCCACCAGTCTGCTCCTTGGGCCGCTCCTCAAATTCACGGCCTCACAGGTTTTCCTGGAATGCCCAGGGCTGGCAGCCGGGGACACATAGCTATAGATTGCGGCATCCTCACTTGAGTGTCCGGCCTGACTACCCACCCGGGCAGAACCCCCCAAACCAAGGGGTCTTCAGAGAGCTTACCGCCAGTGCAAGCTTTAGGGGTTGGAACGCTTTTGCTGGAATGAGCCCCAAATGACCTCCCTGGGATAACACGGACATAGTGGTGATAAGACTGTCACTCAGTGAAGATCGGCCACTCACCAGACACAGTGTGCTCCACTTTCCATTAGGGTGCTACTCTTCCGAGGTGAAGTGGGTGCCCTGAGCATCTGCATTCCGTGGATGGGGGGGGCTTCGGCCCAGAGCGGCGAGGAGACGTGTGCTGCAGGCAGTGCTGGTGGACGTGAGGTTTGAACGCAGGTCTGGGAACTGATCCTCCCGCTCCCGCTGCAGACCACCGGGCTGGCACCTGTTTCTCGGTTCTGATCGTGGGCCGCTGTGCCGGAGACCTCGCCGGCCACTTCACCCACAGGCAGTGCTGCTGTGACAAGGGCAGGTGCTGGGCGGCTGGCCCAGTCCCAGAGTTGTGTCCTGCTCGGGGCTCTGGTGAGTGGCCTGGGGGTCGTCTCCCGTCCTCCTCTGCCCCCAGAGCTCCTCCTCAAAGCCTGCTTCCTCGCAGACGAATTCCAGCGACTGTGTGCCCAGCGGCTCCCGCTGCTGCCTTCCTACCCTGGCCCCTTCCCTGGCCTCCCTGGCTTCGGATCCAGCGGCAGCGCGGGTCCCGGCCGCGGGCCTGCACGGCACAGCTCCCCTGGCGCCAGTGGGCGTGGGGTTCCCAGCCTGGGCTTGGGCGACACCAACATTGGTGAGGAGGGGTCTTTCTGAAGGTCAGGGCTTTGGCTTGGGGTCCTGGCCTGGGCCGTAGGGATAAAAGTACTTACAGTGGACTGAGAGTGGGGGAGACTGGAGATCTGGGTCTCAAAGTCAGTGTTTGGGACTTGGGTAGGGGGTCAAGGGCCGAGGTGGGAGTCTCGGCCCATGGTGAGCGTCTGGGCTTCTCTGGGCCCAGGGGAGGGGGTCTCAGCCAGGGTAAAGGTCTGAATCTAGGGCAAGACTCTGGGCTGAAGTGAGAGAGCTTGGCCGTAGAATGTGGGGTCCCAGCCTTGGAATGGGGGTCGGAACCCAGATAGCGAGGCCCAGACTCGGGGCCAGGAACCAGCCAGCGCCCAGTGCTCCCATCGTCCCTGCCGTAGGCACAGCCACCCTGAACCAGACCATTGACATCTGCCGACACTTCACCAACCTGTGTCTCAATGGCCGCTGCCTGCCCACCCCTTCCGGCTACCGCTGCGAGTGTAACACGGGCTACGCGCAGGACGTCCGGGGGGAGTGCATCGGTAAGGGTGGCCGGGTGCGGGGTGGGGGCGCATCCTGCTGGGCTGGGGCTCAGGGTTCTCCGCCTGCAGACGTGGACGAATGCGCCAGCAGCCCCTGCCGCCATGGAGACTGTGTCAACACCCCCGCCTCCTTTCACTGCCGCTGCCACGACGGTTTCCAGGCCACAGTCACCAAACAGGCGTGCGTGGGTACGGCCGTTCATCTGAGGGAGGAGGCGAGGGCGTGAGGCCTGCATCTGTGGCCTGAATCAGTCTGGGGGGCGCCCGCTGACTGCCCGCCTCCTTTCCCGCAGACGTGGACGAGTGCATCGGCAGCAGTGGCCTCTGCCATCACGGCCGCTGCGTCAACACAGAGGGCTCCTTCCAGTGCGTTTGCAATGCAGGCTTTGAGCTCAGCCCTGATGGCAAGAACTGTGTGGGTGAGTTTAGGCCGGGCAGGTGGGTGAGGGGCCCTGTAGAGCCGTGTCGCATATTTACTCCTGCTGCGCCACCTCCCTCCCTCCCTGCGATGGATCCTCTGCTCAACTCCCTGAACCCAGCCAGCCCGCCTTAGAGCTTTCCTGTGCTCTGTCGATGTCTGCAGGGGCCACGGGGACACCGTGATGGGTCCAGGCCAACTCGGTCCTTCATTCCCTCCTTTCTGAACGCCTTCCATGAGCTCCCGGAAGGCTCGTCTGACCCTGGGGAAGCGCATCCCCCTCTCCTGTCCCACATTGGCCCTGAGTCTGGCTGAGACGTGGCGTCAGGACTATGAAAAGCACCCCACTAAAGCATCAGGACTATGGAAGGCTCCCTGTGGGGTTGGGGGTGCCATCCAAGCTCCGGCCATCACAGCTTGTGGGCCCCACTGGGGACCCCCTTTATTCTCCAGGATACCTGCCTTAAAATTTTCCCTCATCAAGAATTTTCTCCTTTCCACATTCATTCATCGTTCATTCATTCATTTATTTAAAAAAAAAAACTTTTCAGCATTTTTATTGACGTATCATCCATCTACCATGAAAAATTTAAAGTGTACAATTCAGTGGTTTTTAGGACAGTCACAGAGTCGTATGAGCGTCTCTGCCACGCGAGTTGACACATCTACCACCTCATCTCCGTCAGTAGTCTTGCCAGAACCCTTTCTCCCTGCCCCAGCCCTCGGCACTAGGCTAATCAGCTTTCTGTCCCTATGGATGTATCTGTTCTGGGCATTTTGTATCAATGGAATCACACCATGTGGCTTTTCGTCTCTGGCTTCTTTCACCGAGCATCATGTTTTCAAGGCTCACCCACGTTGTAGCGAGTGTCAGGGCTTCGTTTCTTTTTAGGATCAGATAATGTTGCAACGTACGTACGAATAGACCACATTTTGTCTGTCCCTCCATCAGCTGATGGACATCTGGGCTGTTTCCATGGTTTGCAATTATGGATAACACTACTGTGAACATTTGTGTACACATTTTTGTGTGGACCTTTCATTCATTTATTCATTTCTTTTCTCCTTTTTTCTTTATCAGTGCAGTCCTTTATTGCTCAGAACCGATACCTTGGTTATCATTTCTGCACCTACCACCTTCTTTTAAATTAGACTTTTTTTATTAGCTGACTGTTTTTTCCCTTCCCTTTCTTTTTTTTTTAAATTAAAATTCACACCACATAAATTTAATCATTTAAGATGGTACATTCCCAATGTCGTGTAATTACCACTTCATTTATTCTAAAATTTTTTGCAGTAAAATTTACATAGCACAAAATTGATCATTTTGACCCTTTTTAAGGAAACTATTCCGTAACACTTAGTGCAGTGTTGTGCAGCCACCACCTCGCTTATTCAACTTTGAATAAATATTTTTGGAGTACCTACTGTGTGCCAGGACCGAAGATACAGGCATGAGCAAGTGCCCCAGCCATGCCCCAGAGGCCCCACCACATCTTGTCTGGTCAGGCTCCTGGGAGGGCACCTGGGGCTCAGCCCTCAGTCTGCCCTGGAGAAGTGAATGGGAGGGGCTGGTCTACGTGCAGGGTTGGCCCAGTGAGGGGCAGGCGCCTGGCCTGGCCTATTGGGACAGGGCCCCTCCCAATATCCGCAGATCTCAACGAGTGCGCCACCACCACCATGTGCGCCAATGGCGTGTGCCTCAATGAGGACGGCAGCTTCACGTGTCTCTGCAAATCCGGCTTCCTGCTGGCACCTGGTGGCCGCTACTGTGTGGGTGAGTCTGGAGGCTGGACCCCGGGGTGAGCGATGGGGAGGTGGGCAGGGCCAGCGGTGGGGCCTGGACCCATCACGGTGTCCCCGTGGCCCCTGCAGACATCGACGAGTGCCAGACCCCTGGCATCTGCATGAATGGGCATTGCACCAACACTGAGGGCTCCTTCCGCTGTCGCTGCCTGGGGGGGCTGGCGGTGGGTGCGGGTGGCCGTGTGTGCGTGGACACCCACGTGCGCAGCACGTGCTATGGGGCCCTCGACAAGGGCTCCTGCGCCCGCCCCTTGCCCGGCGCCGTGACCAAATCCGAGTGCTGCTGTGCCAGCTCAGACCACGGATTTGGGGAGCCCTGCCAGCTCTGTCCTGCCAAGAACTCCGGTGAGCGGCCCGACCCTCCCCTGCCTGCCACGGCCCTGTCTGCCACGGCCCTGCATGCCTTCCAGTCCTTGATTTCCCTTCATCACTCTGGACATAGGAGGGGGCGGGGGTCCTGACTCCCCTAGAGTGGGAGTTTCTCTCCACTGCAGGGGTGGAGGGTGGGGGTCTTCCCAAGGAGACACTGCAGGAAATTGCTCTCTCCACTGTGGGGACATCTTAGTCCCAGACTCTTGCCCAACACTAAGGGGCCATGTCCTGGGGTGTGACTTATATTCAGCAATGACCAATGACCCCTCTCGCCCTGTCCCTGCCACACCAGCCGAGTTCCAGGCCTTGTGCAGCAGTGGTCTTGGCATGACCACAGACGGTAGAGGTGAGTGGGGTGGGTGTTGGGAGAGGGCAGGTGGGCAGCGTTGTAGTTGGGCACTGTTATCAGTTTGCTGAGGTAACACAGTACCACGGGCTGGGGGCTTCAACACCAGAAATTTATCCCCTCACAGTTCCGGAGGCTGGAAGTCCGTGACCAATGTGTTGGGGGCTTGGCTCCTCCTGCGGCTGGGAGGGAGACTGCTCCTTGTACCTCTCTCAGCTTTTGGGGGTTTGCTGGCAAGCTGTGGCATTCCTTGGCTTGTAGGAGCATTACCCTGATCTCTGCCTCCCCGTTGTGTGTCTGTCTGTCTCCAAATTTCCCCCTTTTATAAGGATACGTTCATATTGGAATGGATCGGGGGTCCACATAATGACCCTATTTTAACTGAATTAGCTCTGTAAAGACCCCATCTCCAAGTAAGGTCCCATGCTGAGGCCCTGGGGGTTAGGACTCCAACATATGAATTTTGGGGGACAAAACTCAGCCCATAACAGGTAGAGATGGTGGATATACAATGCTTCGCTTCCTCACACGTCTTTCCCTTCCCCTCAAGGGGTCTGGGGCTGATGTCCTGCAGCCAGCAGCTCTCAGCCCCAAAGGCCTTGTTTGCACCATTGAAACTTGAAAGGAAAGGAAGTTTCCCATGTGTGTGTCTCTTTCCATTTGTTTGCTGATGAGAAAGAGAGAGAGAGAGAGAGAGAGAGAGAGAGAGAGAGAGAGAGAGAAAACAACAGACTAATGAGAGAGAGAGAGAGAGAGAGAGAGAGAGAGAGAGAGAAAACAACAGCCTTTCTGCCTGAGTAGAAATAAGAGGGCTTAGGAGATGGTCAAGTTTTCCATTCACAGCTGGGCCACTGGGGCAGGACAAATGTCCGACTTCACTTATCCCCCCTACTCCACCCCAGTTAAAGGCACAGATTATGGCGCTATATGCCTGGATTCGATTCCTGGCTGTTCTGTTTACTGATTGTATACCCTTGGGCAAGTGACTTACCTTCTCTGTGCCTCAGTTTCCTTGTCTGTAAAGTGGGGATACTAATAGCACCCATTTCAGGGATGTTCTGAGGATCAAATGACTTAATGTGTTTGGCACAAACTAGTAAGCACTCCATAACGTTAGCGGTTATGATGCTTTTATTTTTGTTGTGTTGTAGCAGTATAAAGTCTGTTCCAAGGGGACATTTGGCAATTTCTGTAGAAATATTGGGGTGGGTGCTACTGGCATCTCATGGGTGGAGGCCAGAGATGCAGCTTAGCATCCTGTAGTGCACAGGATGGCCCCCACAGCAAAGAATGAACCCCCTCCCAATGTCCACAGACCCTGGAAACCCTGGCTTTGTGGGACATGAGGCTAGGTCTGGGATGGAGCTCCAGTCCCAGGGGGACCTGGCTTGTGGAGACCCCAGTGAGCAGGGCAGCTGCTGATGCCCTCTTCCCGCTGCAGACATCAACGAGTGTGCCCTTGACCCCGACATCTGTGCCAATGGTGTGTGTGAGAACCTGCGGGGCGGCTACCGATGCATCTGCAACCTGGGCTACGAGGCAGGTGTGGCGGGCAGGGAGTGCGCAGGTGAGCATCTGGCAGACCGGTGGACGGTGGGACTGTCTTCTCTGCTGTACTGTCTTCACCCTGCTGTCCCACCTTACCCTGCAGACGTCGACGAGTGTGCCACCAACAGCCTTCTCTGTGACAATGGGTGGTGCCGAAACAGCCCTGGTAGCTACAGCTGCTCCTGCCCCCAGGGTTTCAGCTTCCGGCAGGACACAGAGACCTGTGAAGGTACAGGGTCCCGGACACGCTGCACGGGGCATGTACACGCACAGACACATGCACATGCTCTGCTGTGTACACACAGGCACACACTCAAACACGTGTGCTGCATGCTCTGCATATACTTACATGCACACACTCAGACACTTACACACACTGCATGCTGTGTGTACATAGACACTCACCTGCTCAAAGACGCCTGTATACCCACAGTCCACACATTCACACTCACACACAAAGACATATATATTTACATTTAGTCTCATAGTTATACACACTCGCACATATACCCACATTCACACACTCACTTATTCTCACACTTTTCACCCTTGTATTCATAGCCACACACAGTTACTCCCTCAAAGGCACGCACTTATGTATGCCTTTGACTCATATTCACACATGTGTGCATATGATCAGAGACCTGTTTACACACACCAGTACTCAAAACGTAGGTACACAGCCATGTTCACACTCATAGACACTCCCACACAGTCACACTCATATGCACACACTCAAAGACAGGTGTGTACCTGCAGTCGCTCACACTTTCACACATTTAGGCTCACAGTTACACACGCATGTATTTACACAGACATGCCCACACAGGAATATGTGCCTTTGCTCACATATGCACACATTCACACCCATCGTGGCCCACACATGCTTCATGGCGATGACCTTTCCCGTCCCTTAGGCCCCTCACACTCATGGCCACGAGCGCTCACACACGTGCACGCGTGTGTGTCTGTGCACCTTCCATTGGGCCCGACGTCTCCCGGGCTCTGTCTCCCTTTCTCTTCCCCTCGCCCCCACCTCACCTCACTCTTGTTTCCTCTTGTGACTCCAGTGAGGGTCATCGTGCCCGATCGTGTCTGTCTCTCTGCACTTGTCACACGTGCATGCTCCCAAGCCCCTGCGTGCCAGCATGCTCGCATGAGTGCATGACGCAATTCAGTGCAAACGTGTGTGTGCGTGCCTGTGCCTGTGCATTCTGCCCATATACGCACGCCTGTCTGTTCACGCACATGCCGTGTGGACCTGGGTGCACTCCATGCTGCTGGACTCTGGCGGCCCCCAGAGCGGAGGGGGCCCTGGCTGGGTAGGGCTCCCCCTCCTGCAGCTCGGGACCTGGTGCGGGGCTGTCCTTGCAGATATCGACGAGTGCCTGTCCAGCCCATGTGTGAATGGTGCGTGCCGGAACCTCGCCGGCTCCTATGCCTGCGACTGTGGCCCTGGCAGCCGGCTGGGGCCCTCGGGCACCGTGTGCCTAGGTGAGAGGCTTGTTCCTCGTAGTTCCAGGGACCGCGCTGCCCAGCTCTGTGTCCTACCAGGGTGGAGGAGGGAGGTTGTGCCTCTGAGGGTCGGTGTGCAGGTGTGAGCCCAGCAGGTGAGCCAAGTGACCTGGTGACCCCTGCCCTGCAGACAGCACCAAGGGCACCTGTTGGCTGAAGGTCCAGGATGGCCGCTGCGAGGTGAACCTACGCGGAGCCACCCTGCGGGCTGAGTGCTGCGCCACCCTGGGGGCTGCCTGGGGGAGCCCCTGCGAGCACTGCGAGATGGGTAACGCCATGGGGGCCCCTGGGTGGGGCTGCCTGGGGGGGCCCTACAAGCACTGCGGGATGGGTAATGCCATGGGGGCCCCTGGGTGGGCTCCTGGGGGGCCTCGAGGGGTGGCCACTGGGCCTGCCCAGGTACCCATTGAGAGAGAGCAGGGGTGGAACAGGTGACCAGGGCCTGGATGGAGAGCCTGACGCTGGCCCTATTCCGGCTGACCCCCCCACAGACCCTGCCTGCGCCCGTGGCTTTGCCCGCATGAAGGGGCTCCCCTGTGAAGGTAACCAACCCCCTACCCGCCCTGGGTCCACCTCCGCAGCCACACATGGGCAGGTGCATGTCCTGGGCACTAGAGTCTTTGAGATTGAGACAGAGACCCCCTTCTTTGTACCCAAATCTTCCCAGTGATTTCCCAGCCCTTGAGGCTGGCTGTGTCTCCTCCCACTTCCCCGAGGACAACTTGGGTGACCCGAGCCCCAGGGGAGCAGCTCCTGGGAGCCTCCAGCCCTCACCTCTCCTTGCTGCCACTGCCCAGATGTGAACGAGTGTGAGGTCTTCCCCGGGGTCTGTCCCAATGGGCGCTGCCACAACACTGCCGGCTCCTTCCACTGCGAGTGTCCGGAGGGCCTGACGCTGGATCCCACGGGCCGGCTATGTGTGGGTGAGTCTGTGCGCTGTCCCCGTGCAGGGCCGCCTGCCCTTCCTCCACTGCGTCCACCCTCAGGGCCTGGGGACTCCTTAGGAACGGGAGGGAGGGATCTAGGGGCCCGCGGGGACCCTCCACCTGCCCACCTCCTGATGACATGTCTCGAAAAACATTTATTTGAGGGGGGATTCACCCTTTTCTCTTAACTGTCCCTTTTTCGAAGCTCACTGCAAATGGTAAAACCTTGTGAAATGATAGATGTAGCTTGTGTTTATTCTTTCTCATTACCAAGTAAGGTTCACACGGGGGGATTTGAGCACAAGGCACCTTTAGCACGAGTGCCAAGATGGCTGAAGGAGACGTCGGCCTTACACGTGCGTCTCCCTCAGCATCCAGGGCTCACTCACCTAAACGACATCCCATCAAGCTCAAAGCCTCTGAGATGGTTTCCCCCTGGGTGAGGGTTTCTTGATTTTGCCCCCAGCAACACCCTGAGCCAGACATTTCCTTGCCTAAAGCATCTGTCAGCCAACAGACAGGGCTCTGCATTCTATAGTTTTTCCTCCCATAGTCCCCTGTTAGTAGCCTTCTCGTTGGCACCTCGGGGCCCGGTCAACTGTAAGGCAGATCGGCCCTGAAGACTCTCCTAAACTAAGTTTCAGGTATGCAGTGGGTCTTTTAACTGATCCCCCAAAATATGAGCAAGGAGAGAAAGTACCAGAGTGAAGAGGAAAAGGCCGTTGTGTTATGGAGAGCCCTGTGCTGATTCCAGGGTCAGGGGAAATGGGGAGGCTGGTCAGGTGTAACCGTTAGCCCAGGAGCAAGGCACTGGGTACAGGGGAACTTGAGAAGGATCTCTGTGTGGATTGCGGCACTTCTGGATTTTTTTCTAGAAATTCTATAACGGCTCAAATTGACCTGCTTAAATGTATGTTCCTTTTGTAAAGAGAGGAACTTTGTTCTAGACCGGAAGTCAGCAGATTTTTTTCTGTAAAGAGCCAGGAGGTAAACATATGAAGCTTTGTGGGCCATACCATCTCTGTGACAACTATTCAGCACTGCCAGAAAGCCCAAAAGCTGCCGCAGATAATATGGCAACAAACGGATGTAACCGTGTGTCAATAAAACTTTATTTAAAAAACAAGTGGCTGCCTCCTGTCTTAGACCCTCATGTCTGGTGTTGAGGAAGGCTTGTCTGCTGTCAGATTGTTCTGGCAGTTTTGCAGATTAAACACACAGACTCTGGAGCCAGGCGGCCTAGTTTGAACCCGGCCCTACCTTTTACTAACTGTGTGGCCTTGGGCAAGCTACCCAACCCTTCTGGGCCTCAGTTCTTGCCTATAAAATGGGCGTGGTAACGTTTTTGTCTTCTTGGCGTTATTTTGAGGATTAAGTGGATCGATGAGTTTAGAATAGTGCCCAGCACATAGCAAGCCCCCTAGCAGTGTGAGTTATTATTATTAAAATGTATAAAACTCTTGGATGGTCTCAAATCTCACCGTGAGGAGATCACCCCCCTTTCACTCCTCCGGTTGGCGAGGTGCTCCCGAGTGAGGCTGACACGGTATGGCGGGGGCGGGACGTGATGACTGTCCTTGAGCAGATGTGCGCTTGGAGCTGTGTTTCCTGCACTGGGATGAGGATGACTGCGGGGCTGCCCTGCCCAGCAAGTACCGGATGGACGTCTGCTGCTGCTCCGTGGGGGCTGCATGGGGGGCCGCGTGCGAGGCATGCCCGGAGCCCGAGTCCCCAGCATTCACCAGCCTGTGTCCCCGTGGGCTGGGCTTTGCCAGCAGGGACTTCTTGTCAGGCCAGCCCTTCTATAAAGGTGTGTTTGGGTGTGGGGAGCCCGGAGGATGGGGAGGGGACACCACTCGGGCACAGGCCTGGAGCCGAGGTGTGTGTCTGGGTGGTTCGATGACATTTGATGCTCCCGCACCACAGATGTGAATGAGTGCAAAGCCTTCCCCAGCCTCTGCACACACGGTACCTGCCGCAACACTGTGGGCAGCTTCCGCTGCTCCTGTGCAGGGGGCTTCACCCTGGACGCCCAGGAAAGGAACTGCACAGGTATGTGCTCACCTCCGCTTCTTTGAGGGTGGGCGCGTGCAGGGGTAGGGGCCATGAATAGGACATGGAGTCAAGGCCTGTGTGTTTAGGTGCCTCTCGTCATGCCTGCCCGCTTGCTATGTGACCTAGTGCAGGTCACTGCTCTCTCTGGGCTTCAGAGACCATGACTGTAAAAGAAGGACTGGCAAAGGTGATCTCTGGGGGCCTCCAGGCTGGGCGGAAATTCCTGCCCTTGTCTGGCATGTAGTCACGGCACCCCCGTTTCCTCACTCAGTTTGGTTTGGCAGCTTGGGGCTCCTGGGCAGCCCCGAGTGTCTACAGATGTGGAGGCCCAGCCTGCACCCGCTCTCTCCCCAGACATTGACGAGTGCCACATCTCCCCTGACCTCTGCGGCCAGGGTGCCTGTGTCAATACCCCAGGCAGCTTTGAGTGTGAGTGTTTCCATGGCTACGAGAGTGGCTCCAGGCTGATGAAGAACTGCATGGGTAGGTGGCTGCCCTGGGCTGGGCGATGCCTGGTGGGGCTCGGGGCCAAGCAAAGGGATGGCGGAGACGTCGCCGTGATGGACGCGGGTGGAGGGGCAGGTGCGGGGACAGCTGCCTTCCAGCTGGGACACAGCAGGTGTGAACGACATGGGGCATCATCCCCAAAGGACATCAGGTCAGGTGTGCAGAACTGAGGCTGGGGACTGAGATTTTAGCAAGTTCTCCCAACTATACGTGAGGAGAGGAGAGGACCCAGGAGGGAGGAGCCTCTTACCACCTGCTTTCGCTTTCTCAAGCGCTTCCAACTGCAGAGAATTCGGCAGCTCGTGGCCTAACACAGAGACAGGCTTTAATAAACTAAATTGCTAGAGAAATGCAAAATGGCCACTGTCAGAAGCACTTGTAAAGGTCACATGGTGCAGTAGAAGCATGGACCTGGGGGATGTGTCCCATTCTGTGGGGCTCAAGGTTGTGGCTGAGAGAGTGGGAGTAAATGCGGTGAAGAGGGGCTGAAAGAGGAGAAGAGCAGCATGTGCCAAGGCCCTGGGGTGGACCGGAGGGGTCGAAAGGGGCGCGTGAGCTTGGGGGCTGAGGAAGGTGGTGAGGTGGGTGGCTGGGTGTCTGCTCCCCACGCTGATGCCGGGCTGGGCCTCGCCTCCCTGTCGTGTCCTCCGGGAGGGTTTCTTAAAGCCTCCCTCAGTGACTCCAGGAGTGTCAGCCTAATGGCTCTGATTGTCCTGGGAATTCCAGCTTCCTTCCCCGTCTGACTTGTTGTTGCTCCTCCCAGCCCAAACTCTTCTCTCCCGGGTCATCGGTGCCCCAAGCCTCTAGGCTTTTCTGGCTTCAGCTGGGGTAAAGGGACTGGGGGGCCACAGGGAGAAACTTCGAGAGCCACATCACACCCTTCCGTGTCCGTGTCTTCACACCTGCTGTCTCCTTCCACATGCCCAGATGTGGACGAGTGTGTGCAGGACCCCCTGCTGTGCCGGGGAGGCACCTGCACCAACACAGATGGGAGCTACACATGCCAGTGCCCCCCTGGACATGCGCTGACGGCCAAGGGCACTGCCTGTGAGGGTGAGCGTGCAACCGGGCACGTGAGTGGGGGTGCGGATGTGAGCGGCACGCATGAGATAGTGGTAGTGTGTGTGTGTGTCTTTCTCTGAATATGTACTTATGTGTGAATGTCAGTGTCTCTGTGTGTATGCATGTGTGTCAGTGTGTTTCTATGTGGGAATGTGCACATGTGTGTCAGTGTGTCTCTGTGAATGTGCATGAGTGTATCAGTGTATCTGTATGAGTGGTTGCATGCATAAGATGATGGGAGGGTGTGTTTGTGTGTGTATCTCTGTGAATGTGAAAGTAGAAAAGCAAGTTTGCAAGTGTGGGTCAATGTGTGTCTGTGTGGAGGGTGACTGGATGGGTGTGAGACTGAGGTGTGTATTTGTGTGTGTGACCATGCAAATGTATGAGTGTATATCTGTGACTATGTCTATACAAGAGTATATCTGTGACTATGTCTATACAAGACTATTTGTATGTGAATGAGTGTGTGTGGATCTGTGTGAGCATGCAAGACAGTGACTGTATTTGTATGTGAACGAGTGTGTGTGGATCTGTGTGAGCATGCAAGACAGTATGAGTGTGGATCTGGGTGTGGATATGTGTCTGTCTAGGGTGTGTGTTTGCATGTGAGTGCATGCAAGGGTTGTTGAGTCTACAAGAATGCACAAAAGTGAGTGTGTATCTGGGTGTTTACACAAGGGCATATCTGGGTGTGGATGTGTGTGTCTGTCAGGGTGTGTGTTTGCATGTGAGTGCATGCAAGGGTCATGGAGTCTTCAAGAATGCACGAAAGTGAGTGTGTATCTGGGTGTTTACACAAGGGCAAGTATGTTTGCCTATGAGTGGATATGTGAGTCTGCATTGAGTGTGCATGTGGGTGTCAGTGTGTATCTGGTTGTGTTTACTGAGAGTGATTCTGTTTGCATATGAGTCGGTGTGTTTGTGAGCCTAAGTGAACATGCAGGTGGGTGTGTGTATCTGGGTATGAACGTGTGTCTGCCTAGAATGAGTGTGTGAATGTGCGAGGGTGTGTTTGTGTGTCTTGTGAGTGTATAAGAGGTTGCAAGTGTGTATCTGGGTGAGGGTGTGTGTGTGTGTGGACTTGCACCTACGGGATGTAATAATGCTCGTTGTGTGAGCACATCATTGTGCACATGTGTCTGAGTGTCTCGGGGTCGCCCCAGTAGCGGAGAGGGGCACGGGCCACGCTTCGGGCCCTTCCGCCCGTCTGTGCACGCTGAGTTCCAACCGGCCATGTCCTCCCCCCACAGATGTCGACGAGTGCTCCCTGAGTGACGGCCTGTGTCCTCATGGCCAGTGCGTCAATGTCATTGGTGCCTTCCAGTGCTCCTGCCACACTGGCTTCCGGAGCACCCCCGACCACCAGGGCTGCGTGGGTGAGGCTGCGTCATCCCACCGGCCCCCAGACCCAACCTCCTTCAGCCCCCAAAGCAGCTCCCTGCGTGACCCTCTCCCCCAGCCCAGCCGCTCCGCCTTTTCCCTGTCCCCTGCAGACATCAACGAATGCCTTGCTGGGAGTGCTGGGTGTGATGGGCACTGCGTTAACACTGAGGGCAGCTACCGGTGCAGCTGTGGACACGGCTACTCGCTGATGCCAGATGGGAGGGCGTGTGCAGGTGGGTGGGCGAGCCCCTCCCCCTGCCTGGGACCGGGGAGTCAACCTTGCCCAGCCCAGACACGGGACGGGCTGCGGACCCTGCGGGCGGCTCCCTGGGGCTCCCCCTCCATCCCTGCCCGCATGCAGCTCAGCCCACGTCTGCCCGCCCCCCCCAGATGTGGATGAGTGTGAAGAGAACCCAGACATCTGTGATGGCGGCCAGTGCACCAATGTGCCAGGGGGTCACCGTTGTTTGTGCTATGACGGCTTCGTGGCCATGCTGGACATAAGGACGTGTGTGGGTGAGGAGCTGGGATTGCGAGGTGGAGGAGACAGTGTCAGGACTCATAGACCAGGCCTTCCACAAGGTGGGCGAGCACGACCAGGTCCCATCCTGTCACACGCCGGCAAGGGAAGGAGGCTTCGCTGCAGTGCCAGGAGGTCTGCACATGGCCACCAGTACCTTGAGCCTGCGTCAAAGCCCATGGGATGTCATTCACAGTAGCAGAGCCCCCCGGACCTTGTTCCTTTGAAGCCCGTTTGTCAAATACTCACTGCGTTCCCAACGTACATCAGAGGCTCACGCCCTGTCCAAGGGTTGTACTTTACAGTACTTTACAGTTGCTGCCAACCAAGGGCCTTTTATGCAAAGGATGGTGAGCAACACAGGAAGACACTCAGAAGTGTGTTTTCAGCTCTGCGTGGGGTCCCCGGGCTGTTTGAGCCGCGATCACCATCCTCTCCTGGCTGCGGGTCATCACGAGGCCCGGGGAGCCATGTGTACTGGGTCCCCATCAGGACGGAGCTGAGGGCCAAGTGGGGAGTTCTTAGGAAGTAGAAGTGTAATTCCCTCCCAGGAAGATGTGCCCACCCCAGTGCAGCTTAAAGAGTTCCAGATCTCAGGAGTCTAGGATGCACTTAAGACCTTGGGACCAAAGAAATTTAGGGAATGCTGCATACATTATACCTTTCTTACAGATCCACATTGGCACAAAGGCTCTGAAAAGGCCTGCAAAAGTGAATTTGGTTCGCTTTGTTTAACTCGGTGTTCTCTGAATGTGTTTGGCCATAAAATCCTTTTGGGAATGCCCGCGCAGTGTGTCCCATGGCATTTGCGCTGTAAAGCACTGACATAACTCTCACAGCTGCCTCATGGTGGAACCAGAGGGAGCTCCCCACCCCTGGAGCCCGGCAGAGAGAACCTCGACGCAGGGTACTCACGTGGCAGGGCACTCAGCAGTGCTGGCGCATCCCCCCCACACTCATCTTGTCATCCCGCAGATGTGAACGAGTGTGACCTGAACCCCCACATCTGCCTCCAAGGGGACTGCGAGAACACAAAGGGTTCCTTTGTGTGCCACTGCCAGCTGGGTTACGTCGTCAGGAAGGGGGCCACGGGCTGCTCCGGTGAGCTGGCGGTCAGCGGTGCAGGCGGAGGGGATGCTGAGGGGCCAGCTCAGGGGTTGTGGGGTCTGCCTCGTCCCCTGAGGCAGAGCACGCCAGACCTCATTCTTGCAGCTTTCCGCTGGTGGGGTCGTGTTCAAGCAGGAACAGGACCCAGTGGGCTGCCCCTGGTGCACTCCGTAACCGACAGCTCAGGGAGGAGCCCGGAGCCCCGAGTGTCCACAGCAGCCTTCTCCGAGCATGCAAGCCTGATGGTTCTCAGTGAGACAAGGACCAGCCTTTCTGCGTTCCAGCGATGACTGTTTTGGCTTCCTAGGCTGCTGTAATCAATTACCACAAACCTGGTAGCTGAGAACCACCAGAAGTCGGAAACCAAGGGGTCAGCAGGGTTGTTCCTTCTTAGAGGCTCAGAGGGAGCATCTGTCCCATGCCTCTCTCCTGGCTCTGGTGGTGGCCATCAGTCCTTGGGGTCCTTTGGCTTGTAAATGCATCTCTTCCACCTGTGTCTATCATCACATGGTGTTCTCTCCAAATTTCTCCCTTTTTAAAGGACACCAGTCATTGGATTTGGGCCCACCATCCAGGGTGACCTCCTCTTAACTTGGTTACGTCTCCAAAGACAATATTTCCAAATCAGTTCCCGTTGCCAGGTTCTGGAAGTTCGCCCTTGAACGTATCTTTTGGGAGGGCACAAGTCTACCTGTTATAATTACGCGATTATTTTAACACGAACCAGAATCAAATGTTGTGTAACAGAGCAACAGATCCGTGACTTCTTAGAGACCGTTTAAAATTTTCTCTTAAACACGTTTACGTAAGTAACAGGGGGAGGCCGTGTAAAGAAACGTTCAGCACCCAGCGGCTCTCTCAGGCGGTGCGTGAATGTTGCGGGTTATCAGGGTGATGCAGAACTGGCTGAGGATGGGACATGCTGGTTTAGAAGGACATCTTGCTTTAGAGAGGGAGCATGCGCATTAGGACAGTTACTCTTTTTTTTAAATTTATTTTCCAGTTACAGTTGACATATCAGTTTCATGTGTAGGACAGGTACTCTTAGCGTCTACCTTAAGTCTCTCATGCTGCGATTTCAGACCGTTTCTGAGAGCTGCTGGAAGTCGTGCCTGTTGAGCTTTAGGGTTTTTTCTTGGGCTCTGGGTGAAGGTGGAAGCTCCTGGAATGCTGGTGACACATCTGGCTCAGCCCTCCACGAAGGGGGTCCTTCCTCTTTCCCCGACTGCAGCACCACGTCTATTTCTACAAGCCCTATTTCTACAAGGCCCAGACCTTGAGGGGGTGCTGCGTCCCCCTCCCATCTCCTGGTCCTGCCCCTCCTGTGACTGGGTCCCTCTCCTCTTAGATGTGGACGAATGTGAGCTTGGGGGACACAGCTGTGACAGCCACGCCTCCTGCCTCAATGTCCCCGGGAGTTTCAGCTGCAGGTGCCAGCCAGGCTGGGTGGGGGATGGATTCGAATGCCATGGTAAGTGCCTGGGGGCAGGAGGTCTGGGCAGAGCCGCTGAGGTAGGTGGGGGGCAGGGTTCAGGGGTGCCCTTGGAGGCTGGTCAAAGCCAAGATTGCAGGGTCCGCCTCTCAGATCACCCTAATGCATATACCTGGGGGGCTCTGGGCCCTGTCTCCTGCAGACCTGGATGAATGCGCCTTCCAGAAGCACTGGTGCAGCCCGGACGCCGACTGCCTCAATGCCCCTGGCTCCTACCGCTGCACCTGCCGCCCAGGCTTTGCGGGCGACGGCTTCTTCTGCGAAGGTGAGATCAGGGAGGGGTGGGAGAGCAGGAGGGGCCCGAGAGGGGGCTGGGTTCCGAGGTGGCCACCATGGTCAGTTGGTTTCCTGACTCTCACTGATCCACTCATGGCTCCGTGGGTGCCGGAGAGGATGTGCCTCCAGCTGGCAGGGCTGCAGGCCAAGCCTTGTCACTGGGCAGTCTTCTCTCTTGGGCTCTGACTGCATGGAGCCTTCTGAATGTGGGGAGCAGGAATACTGGCTTATTCCCCAGTGACCCCCATCCTGAATCCTGAGTGTCTAGGTTCCCTGTCTGGCTGGAATCCCAGAGATCAGTCCCCTATCTGCTTGCTCCTTGGCTCTGACTTGGTGACCTGCCCACAGAGTTCCCAGTGCTACTAGAACCTCGGGTGACGGTGAAGGGTTAGAGTGACCAAGGCCATCTGCCCACCCTGCGTGGGTCTCGGCCAGTTGGTCCCCAGCCTCTGCCTCTCGGGGCTCCTCAGACAGGGACGAATGTGAGGAGGACGTGGGCCTCTGTGAGAACGGGCAGTGCCTTAATGCCCCCGGCGGGTACCGCTGTGAATGCGAGAAGGGCTTCAACCCTGCAGAGGACCACCGCGCCTGCCAGGGTGAGGCCCGGGTGGCCGGGGCGAAGGACGGAGCAGGCGGGCCCCCGCGGGTGGGGCCAGCTGACCTGGGATCCCCACAGATGTGGACGAATGCGTTCTGGGGAACCTCTGTGTGTTCGGGAGCTGCGAGAACCTGCCTGGAATGTTCCGCTGTATCTGTGATGAGGGCTATGAGCTGGACCGCGGTGGCGGTAACTGCACAGGTGTGGGGTCACTGGGGTTTGGGGACGGGGGACGCGGGAGTGGAGGCTGGGAGGGGCACAGCTCATTTCTTTGCTGCCATCAGCAAAGAATATCCTCTCCTGGGGTAGGCCTTGTCTGATCGACACCTGTTCCCATTGACCTTCATTGTCATCTGTCATGCCTTGGACAAATGCAGTGAATGAATGAAGTCATGCTCCCTCCACCATCCAAATGTCTCTTACCTATGTGTTTAAGATGGAGGTCGGCGAACATTTTCAGTAAAGGGCCAGATAGTAAAATATTTTTGGCTCTGGGCCACACAAGTCCCTGTCATAGCTCTTCCGCTTGCTGTTGCAGCTCGAAGCAGACACAGGCAATGCGAAGTGGAATGGGCGTGGCCGCGTGCTAGTGAGACCTCACACGAACAGGCAGGCTGTAGTGTGCCAATGCTTGTTTGAAGGCATGTTCTAAGCACTGGTCATGGAGCAAGGCAGGCCCCGCAGGCTGCTACTCCTTGGCTTTTTCCCAGGGGGAACGTGGCTTGCAGCCCAGCCCCCAGTGTCCAGGGCTTTGGTTTCCCAGGAGGATTACGGGAGGATGTGGGCTGAGGGAGGGCTCCCGGCTGACGGCGCCCCCACTTCACAGATGTCAACGAGTGTGCAGACCCAGTGAACTGCATCAACGGCCTGTGCATCAATACCCCTGGCAGCTACCTCTGCAACTGCCCCCAGGACTTTGAACTGAACCCCAGCGGGGTGGGCTGTGTGGGTGAGTGCGCACAAGGCCCCAGCTGGGGTTCTGAGCTGTGAGCTGGGTGGGATTACAGCCTGGTCATCTGGCCTGTCAGCCTGTTTAAGTCTTCCTGCTCCTGACAGACAGGACCCGGCTCCCAGCCAGAGCGATGGTCTCTGTTGCCTATGGATATATAGCTTTCTGCTGTAGACACACACACACACACACACACACACACACACACACACACACACACACACACACACACACACACCCCTTCCCTGCCTGGCCCTTGCATGATTTTCCTTGTTCAGAAACACCCTTCTGACATACACACATGCACAGAGGCACACATGCACACACATTACACACACAGTTATCCAAACACAGAGATACACAGTTGAACACAGTTACATAGCCACACAGAGATATGTAGTTGCTCATGAACACACAGCTGCACACACAGAGATATATACAGTCACAATTACACACTCACAAGCACATGCGCAGTCACACAATGATGCCAACACACGTGAACCGTTTCTCCTCCGCCACTTGCTAATCATCCCTTCTGCTTGTTCAGACACTCGGATTGGAAACTGTTTCCTGGACACACACAACCGCGGGGACGGTGGCATTTCCTGCAGTGCCGAGATCGGGGTCGGCGTCACCCGAGCATCCTGTTGTTGCTCGCTGGGCCGGGCCTGGGGCAACCCCTGCGAGCTGTGCCCAATGGCCAACACCAGTGAGTCCGGGAGGCAGGGGACAGGCGAGCACTGTGGCCTGAGCCACAGAGATTTAGCCCCATCTGGGGCCTCTCTGGGGCTTAGGGGGTCATCTTTGCTAAGGGAGGGACACTGGGAACCAGAGAGGGAGGGGGCTTGCCTTGGGTCACAAAGTTTGTTCTTGGCAGTTCATTGTCTGGGCCTCTCTCAGGTGTCTTTCCTGCAAATTCTTATTTGTCAGTCAGCAAATATTGAGGGTTCCTCTGTGTCCTTTGCTAGGGTCTGGGGACCCAGAAAAGGACAGGCCACAGCAGGTGTACGCTGGCCTCACCCACAAACCAAGGGCCCCGGGACTGAGAGTCGAGCTCTCGTCAGGGTCTGTTTGAGCCACAGTGATGGCCCGGGGGAAAGCCTGCAGAGGAAAGGGGTGAGGGAAGTCTCCCCAAGGCAGGAGGCGCAAATGAGGTTATGAAAGGTGATTAGGAGTTTTCTAGGTAGAGTAAAGGGAAGGGTGTGGGATGCAAGAGAATATTATGTACAAAGGCCTCAGGTGTGAAGCAGGAAGGCACCCGTCCAGCTACTCAGGGCAGAGAGAGACAGAGACAGAGAGAGTGAGAGAGAGAGAGTTTGTGTGTGTCCAGGGTCTTCCTTTCATGGGAGAAATTTAAGATCACACAGGGGGCTGGTTTGGGGTCAGAAGGAATTCTACCCCTACCCCAGCTCCTACGGCATGATCCATCTGCTCACGTGTTCAATGGGAACAATGTTCACACCACACACAGGGACTGGACCCCCAAGATTGGCCCCAAGAGGCGGAGGAGATAGAGGATGTAGTTGGTGTGGTAAAAGGATGCAGGACCTACTCTTGGGCCCTTCTTAGGGGTCCTCCCCTCTCCTGCTTCTCCTGGGCTTTGCTTCACATCCCCTCATCAGAGCGTGTTTTCCTTGCAGCTGAATACAGAACCTTGTGCCCAGGTGGTGAGGGCTTCCGGCCCAACCCCATCACTGTCATTCTGGAAGGTAAGCCCCTGGCAGACCGTCCATCACGCTCCCACTGACTGACCTTTCTCTCATTACTGCCTCACCAAGTGCAGACTTGGGCAGTTTTGGGGACCCAGGTCCTCCTGTCTAGAGGTCAGGCAGTGAGACCAAACTGCTTTTAGTTTGTGGTGAATTTTTTTGTCTTTTTTTCAGCTGTCTCTTGTTAATCTATTGGCATATTGATCCATCCATCCCCTGTTCATCTATCCATGTGTCTCTCTCTCCATCCATCCACTCATCCATCCATCCATCCATCCATCCATCCATCCATCCATCCATCCATCCATCCATCTCCTGTCCGTTCATCTGTCCATCCATCCACTCATCTGTCTTCTTGTCCATTCACACTCTTGCTTATTCACTCATCCACTACTTGTCTTATCTGTCCACCACCCACCCACCCATGCATCCATGCATCTATCCATTCGTCCTTCTATAGTCAGGATGTGATGAGATTGGAAAGTATGTGATGGATGGATGGGTGGGAGGATGGACTATCAGATGAAGGAAAAGGGGATGAATTCAGGGTGACATTGACCCAAGAGAGTCTGGGTGTGGCCTCCAAGAGAGGCCCTAGCCTGAACCCTCCAAATATCCAATGGCTCCCAGGTATTATTGAAGAATCAGGCCCAGCTCCCTCGGGGCCCTGGAGATTCCAAGGCAGGGCCTGGTGTCCCCTGAGTCCTCTGTTGGAGTGTAGCTTTCAAGCACGGCCTTCTAACTCCCACACAGACATTGATGAGTGCCAAGACCTACCAGGGCTTTGCCAGGGGGGCGACTGTGTCAACACTTTTGGCAGCTTTCAGTGTGAGTGCCCACCTGGCTACCGCCTCCATGAGGACACCCGCGTCTGTGAGGGTAAGCCTGGACCTTCCCCGCCCACCCGGCCTTCCTGCCCAGCCTCACCTCCTCCTCCTCAGGTGCTGGGGCCTGAAATGCCTCTAAGAGCCTGCTCGCCTGCCTTGCTGCCTGAGGCTCGTTGGAGAAGGCTTCGACAGAATGCCCCAGTCTACACTCTGCTCTGCTGCCTCCTCCTCCCAGTTGCCTGACCTCTGACCTCCTCCCCACTCAGAAATGACCTGGCTTTACTACAGTAGTCATGCCCTTCCTCCTCTGGGCAAAAGCTGACCAAGGCCCAGAGCTAAAAGTAGGCAGGGAAAGACGCAGAAGGAACAGCCCCACCCTTCAGTCATCGCTCCGCTTGCCTTACTGGTCTCATCTGAGCATCATAGTCACGACCAGTCATGAACTGGTGTCTGTGACTGTGTCGCCACTGTCATGAGCATCCCCATTAGTCATTCATTCATTCATCGCAACAACCCCGTGAGGGAGCTAGTCCTGTCATGATCCCATTTTTCAGATGCTGCAACCAAGGCTCAAGGAGGTTGAGTGACTCGTTGAGAGAAGCAGCTAATAAGCGATGGAAACTGGCTATGAGCCCAGCCATTCTGAGCCCAGCCATTCTGATCCTTGAGCCTGAACTCTTTCAATGCAATGTACCAAATTCATTCATTCATTCATTCATCTGTTCACCCATCAATCCACGGATGATTGGAGTATAATGTCGCTTTAGGCCCAGTCCAAAGGTTATTTTGCCCTGTTTTAACATTCCAAAGGTTTGAGGCATAAGACGTGGAAGGCAGTTCCTCTGGGATGGCAGCTCCGACTCTATTTTAAAGTGGCTTCCTTTATTTTATTTTTTTGACAGAATACTTTATTTGGAGGGCTCTTGCTTCCTATGGCATCGTGTTAGGAAGCACGTGGTAGCCCCCTTTTGGTGATACTGTAATTAACTCATGGATTCAAGTCATATTTCTTCTTAATAGAAGAGAGATATTAGTAAACTTTTTTTTTTTCACTCAACACTGTGTTGTATCTTTTCATGTCACTAAAATGTCTACATTCCAAGCAAATCTTGACACCAAACTGAAGCTCATAGTGACATGGCTCCCCCAGACCAGGCCATGTCTGGCTGGACACTGCGCCTCTGTCCCCTGCAGACGTGGATGAATGCTCTGCGCACCCGGGCATCTGTGGCCCCGGCACCTGCTACAACACCCTGGGAAACTACACGTGTGTCTGCCCTGCGGAGTACCTGCAAGTCAACGGTGGCAACAACTGCATGGGTACGAAGCATAATGACAGGGGGCACCGGCTGTTGTGGAAGCAGCACTCGGGTGCGGGAGAAACTTCTGGGAGTCGCCAAGCCTTGGAAGAGTGTGGAGAGATGTGTTTGGGGGAGGAGAGAGGGAGAGTAAATGTGTTTGACGTGCTGCTTCGCAGAAGTGAACAAGGCTGCAGGGCTCAGGGACCCGGGGCTGTCACAAATGGTCGTCCAGGTTGCGCACTGCCCAACAAAGGCTGAAAAGTCAATGGCAACCTCAGGTGTGCTGGGGAAGAGATATCAAGCCAGTGATTTTCCGATGCATTCGTGAATGAGTTCCTGTCTGTCTGGCTCTCTCTTTC